CAGGGCCTCGAACAGGGCTGGGCCAGTAAGAGAGGAGGGGCCTGCGGGTCGGGGCGGGTCGGGACGGGGCCTGCAAGGCGGCTGGTAGATTGCTCCTGGGCCCAACTCGGGCCGACACCTACAACTGGGCTGGCTGGTCCAAGTTCCAACCCAATTCGCTGAAGCCCGTCGCCCTCACCTCCTTGCTTTGGAGCCTCCAAAATTCACCCACCCACCCACAGCCTTGAAAACTGGAAACCAGAGGCTCAACGCCCACTTAGGCTAGTATTTTCAAGATTTTAAGGTGTTGATTCATACTTTGGCTGCTCAAACATCACACAGGAGGTACTAGTTGACCACTGCTGGTCCCAGATTAGTTAGGCAGACACAGCTAATGGACGAACAGGCTCAGCCTCTGGGGACCCCCACGTGTAAAGGAGCAGAATGAACACCCTAGGGGGTAACTCCAGTCCCACCTGCAGAACATGAGAGGAGGCTGCAGCTTTTACAATGCTGGTTAACCACTCACTGGGGTTTAAGGTAATGCACAGTTTGATGAAGAAATTGTGAAAGCTATTCATGTCTATTCATACTGTGGTTTGTTTCTGGAGAATTTACTGTAAAAGTGTAGTAAGGACGGTGAGCACTTTTCATCCTGCTAAACCAAACTCAGATGCTTTAACTTCCCAAGTCTTCATGTAATTATGGCTTGGGGGTGGTGATGTAGGGAGAAAAACACAATGGACCTTCAACAAACACCTAATACAAACACCTAAAGCTAGACATGAACCTCAAAGTAGCAATATATTTATTTACAAAATATACAGTTTCACAGAAACAGCTTCGCTTTATACACATAAACTTTACAATTACACAGAACCATGTAAACGATGTTAATTGTCTGGCCTGGCCAAAGCCAATGGGAGGGGCCTACTTTGGGGGTAACACCTTTCCCTCCCCGTACATCATTAGCCAACAACCAGGACCCCCTAGACGGGCCATGCCTAATTTGCATCAAGCTGATTGCAGCTGCCCAGCTCAATCTAACACAAAAACCAAGGTGTCTTGACTTCTTAGACACCACCCACAGGGATAAATCTGTTAAAAAAACAGAAAGGAAATGAAGGAAACAGAAATCGAGATGAGTATCAAATGCCTTCCAGAGACGGAACTGAACCACCACCGGGAACTTCCACCAGGCACTGAACCTTCTAAGAGCAACAGGGCAATTGCCAGTGTTGGCAGGCAGTTCCACTCTAAAATCACACCTATTCTTAAATGCACTTCTAAAACTTTGTGAATTTCTTTTTTTGTTTAAAGAGAGAAACATTTTGAAACTTTGGCTACTCTGGTGGTAAAGACACTGGACAGGCAATGTCATGGGGCAGATCTTTGGCAAATTCCTCTCCAACTTTTCCTGGACGTTTGCCCTAGTGAGAGCCAGACAGTTGTCTGGGGAGAAGGTTGTTTCAAGCCAGCTTCTTACTATTTTTCTCTACAGCAGAACTTCTCCCTTGGGGATCTTCACAATAAAATGGGTTTCAGAAACTATTTCTCTCTATTTTTGTGTTAATATAAGCAACAGAATTAAAAACAAAACAAAAAGGCAGTTGGCTGGTCAAGCATGAAAGACACCAGGACAAAATACAGGCTCTGATTAGTCAAGTACAGTCCAACCCGCCACGGTGCTTCAGTGAGAAACTGTGGACCAAGCCCGCCTCGTAGCCCTGCACGAGGGCACCACAGGAGAGCCCCCAGCAGGGAGACTGGGGGGCCATCTTCATGTAAACACGACTAACTTGGGCATCCTTCCCTTCTCATGCTTTATAAGAAACAATGTTTATGAAAACACACTCATCGATTTACAAAAAAAAACATTTTTGAGAACAAGTATTTGAACTGCTAAAGAGCAATGTCAATTTCGGAGAAAGCTGAAGCCCACCCTCTCCTCCAGCCCCAGAACCACCAGTGTCCCGGGCTATGCTGCCCCAGAGCAGAAGCCCGCATGGGCTTCACACTCCCTGGCTTCCCCAGAGGTGGCTTGCACAGGGGTCTGCCCAGTCCAGGGTCCTAGTTAAGGTCTAAGGAACTCTGCACAGTTCAATTCCTGGAGGCCAATGTTACCACGTCACTCACTCACCAATTCAAACCAAAAAAAAAAGGCTTCAAAAGTCCTAACCTTGCCCCGTGGAACCAGCAGGCCAGCCTGTATGAGGGGCACACTAAGAACCCATGGGAGAGGCCTTCCCCCCAATTTTCCCTTACCCCGCTCTGTAGAGGAACACTGTTCCCCAGCGATTGCCTAACCTTTAACGCTGCTACCAGAATGAAGTGAGGCGGAGAGACAAGGAGAGAATCCAAGTGCCCCCTCGCTTAGAAACAGCTTGCCGGGCACTCCCTGGCCCTCAGAAGCCAAATGGAGAGAAAGGGGACCCAGGCAGAAGTCTGCCAATACTTTTGGCTATTTCGTGCAAAAAGACAGGTTTTTTTACATCGTGCAAAACAGGAAACTGAGTTATGAACACGGGCCACTTTCGTTCCCCCAATCTGACCCCCTTGCCACAGAGAAGTGGCCGCATACTGTCCCTTTTAATGAACAGAAGGAAACATGGGGGGTCACTAGCTAGCCCACCACCCCAGGACTCCTCTCAGAGTGAGACCACAGGACTCCAGCCGGCAGCCCCCCAGGCCGGGGAGAGGGCGGACCACTAAGGTAGGGGCAGTTTTGATGGCTGCTGTACAGACACTTATGGTAAAAGACTGACACACACGAGAAGAAGCTTACACGTATGGCTGTTCATAAACAGGCCGGGGAAGCAGAACATCTCTCCCCAACACAGCGGAAGCAGGAACAACAGCTAGCACTTGTTCCGATCGGCGGGCGTTTGTTAACAATGAGAGCAAGAATTCACAACTACCACGTACCCTCACCTTCAGCTGGACCAAACCCACTGCACTCGGGTGTGTAGTCCACCTCCACTGCAGAGAACACAGCTCCAGCAGCAGCTTTGGCCAACGAGGATTTTATTCAGTCACTGGCTATGTACAGTTTATACCTTGGACAGCCTGTCCTTTCACTTAGGCACCTGTGTGGCAGGGGTCTGCCCGCACCAGAGCTGAGAGTTCTGTGCTCAACTAAGAGAGGGGCCAAGAGGCCCAGTGTCCCTTCCGGTTCCTCACCCACAGTCTCCTCACTCTCCAGCAGTCAGTCCAGAAACAGCTTCCGGGAGCCCATTCGGGACCGGTTGGAACGGCGGATGTCAAACTTGGAGTCCCGGCACTTTTGGCAGACAAACACTTCCGGAACGTTAGACTTCCGGATTTTTGCACAGGACAGGTGAATCCAAGTATGGCACTCATTACACTCTATCATGGGGCGGCCGGCAAACGGCTTCATGCAGAAGCAGGTGACGAGGTCCCAGGAGTCGTCGTCTGAAAGAAGAGAAACACGTAAGGGGGAAACTTCTCACCATGTCTCTCCATCAGGGCCTCTCCTCCATAAGGACCACTCCATCAGGAACCCCCTTCTCATCAGGACCTGTCCTCCACTGGGACCCGTCCCCCATCAGGACCCTTCATTGGGACCCCCCCCCCTTCAGGAAAGCCACTCTCCAATGGGACAGAGCAGCTGAGTTGTGGTGAAACCCGAACCTCAACAAATGAAACCAATTTCAAGTTTCACTTAAGGCTGACACTTCCCTCTCTGAAAATGCAGCAAGCGCACCACACAAAGGACACTGGAATGTGTGGTAGCAGGAATCATCCATGAGGTGCTTCCATGTGGGCAATGTCATTTTTACATTTTGAGGTCTGTTTTTGGAGCCGCAGCTGTTTTGAGCTGTGACTGCCCCTTCCTAAACGTCTCCGTATCCACCCTCTTGCACCTTTCTCCCTGGAGGTGGTGGGCCCGCTCCACAGTCACACCGTGAGGAAGGGGCCGCTGTGAGCACCAGCCAACGGCGAGCCGTCCTCCAGGCGCTCTCACCTGAGTCCACCATTATGTCCTCGTCGTTGCCGGTGCTGTCCTCGTCCCGGAACACCACCTGCTTGCCCTGCCGGACGATAGTCCGTTTGCCTTCAGTTTTTATTTCTTTGACCTGATCGGGTGACACCGTGGCACAAGATCCACTGGAAGGAGTGTCGGAGTCCCAGCCCGAGCAGGGGTCGCCAGGGGCCTGGGGGATATCCTGCAGGGCAGGGCTCGTGGGGGTCTCCCCATATGGGTCGGTGGCTTCCAGCTGCAGCAGGCCCCCCATGTAGCCCTCCTTCCCGGGCACGTCACTGTCCCTCCGCTTCCTCTTCTTCTTCTTCTTCAGCTTGTCAGTCTTCTTTCTATCCAGCAGGAAGTTGCTGGGCTTGGCTCGCTGCAGGAGGGTGGGCTGCAGGTGGCCAAAGCAGCGGTCAGAGACAGGCAAGGGCACTGCGGATGAGATGTCAGTGAAACCAGCATCCCAGCCATCACTGTCAATGGTACCAGCAGTGCTGTTGGCGGGGCTGGGGCTGCTCCTCAAAGGGAGTTCCTGAAAGAACAGACACAAAGGTGGCAGGTTCTGATTATTTCAACCAGCCCCCCAGCTCCAAGAGTGGGCCCTGAGCAGAGCCTCCCCCGGGGCTGCCCAGCCAGGTCAGGTCAGACCTGCAGATGTCGGAGGCACACAACCCCGAGCTTCCCAGTTCTCACCAGCATTATTCCCTAGGAAGGGAGTTATTAATACTTTAGTGTGACCTTCCAGATAGCACGTGAACTCACCAGGGGGAACCTCCACCCCTTGCTGAACCCTCAGCCCCTGCCCAAGCCAGGAACTTACTTGCTACTCAGTACATGCCTGTGAGGGGAGTACTGAAGACCCTCAAACTTTTCATCTTTCCTGACTGTACAATCTCCCCACTGCTGTTCTCCCAAAGGATGTATTTTTTTAATTAAGTGAATTTAAATTAATTGTGAGAATTCTCTGACACTATAAAACCTGGAGATATCCCAAAATATTGCAAAATCAAAGTAAGCAATTACTGCCCAAAAGCAATGAGCTGAGCTCTATGGTTCCTTCGGATCATTCAAGCATTTTATTTGCCAATAGTGGCAACATTTTGCATGGCACCAAGCAAGCATTATCCACCTAACTGGCCGTGGAAACAGTAAGCAAGCCAATGCTAGGATTTGGCCTCTGAGAACTACTGGATTCCTTTCTTTTAAGCACTGCACAATAGGAATGAGCCCCCCGTCATGTCTGAGCACCACAGCAGCGCTGGTCCTCAGCTCTGCCCATTTCTCAGCAAAGGAGAAAAATCCCTTAATTTACATGGGATTTTGGCCATGAGTCCCTGAAGATTCTGTAATGTGGCGTGTGCAGCAACCAGGAGGTTGCTCACAAGTCAGGGCAGGATGGACTGGGCCTGACCATCTGATCTGGCTGAACACCAGGTTCCACCACCGATTAGCCTATGACCCAGACTAAGGAGTTCTCGCTCCATTCCCCCACGGTCCTCATCTTTAAAATGGAGATAAATAACAGCTCCTATCTCATATCACTTCAACAGCAAAAACAGTGCCTGGCCACAGTAAGCACTCAGTAAGTAGTGGCCATAAAGAGCAAGCAGATATCAAATGCATTATTTGCAAACAAACTTTGAAAGTTTATCAAATAATTTTCTAAACAAGTCTGTATTTTCTGTCAGTTTTAGGAACCACTTCCCACGCTGCAAGTTTGTAAGAAAGATTTCTGCCTCAATATTGGCTTAAGTCCTCCCAGGTAACCCCTTCCAGACCCACCGCCTTGTCAAAAACTCTGGTTTTGCAGCCAGCAAGGTTCAAAAATGCTGAAAATTACCTCTTTCGGATAAGGGATGTAGCCTGCATAGGCCAAGACAAAGGTGCAGAATTTGTTGAAATCCTCCACGGTCCTGCGCCTCTTGTAACTGGGGGAATACTCCTGTTAACAGGCGGGAAAATGGAGCACGTTTGAAAGTAGACACTTACAGCTGGAATCCCAGAAACAAAACCAAGCAAGCTGCAGCTGTTACTGTCAGCCCCTCAAAGACATACCCTTAGATCCACAAACACTCCAGAAACAAGATAAGGTAAGTTCGGGTCAAGAAATAACACTGTGTTCAAGAAGGCTGAAAGAGGGAGTATTACCACGTTATGCCAAGAATACTGGGAAACTGGTTCGAGATAAAAGCTTGCACGAAAGTCTTTCTCAGCACTCACATGACATTTTCTGACCCTATCTGTGAGTTTCTACAGACCTATCAAGAGGCCTAGTAACTACTTTTTTGCCACAAATTTTCTATTTTGAAAATAAACTGCTGCTACAGCTGTAACTAAAGTCGTTTAAATGACTTCAAAAACCAATTAGTTCTTAACCTTCAGAGCTCAGGCCTGGGATCCTGGAGCTCAGTCTCAAGTGACCCCTCCCCAGCCCCGGCTGCGTGAGGACCCCTCCTCCAGAGGAGACAATTTCTGCTGACCCTTCCAGTGCTGACCATCCGGGGCCCAGGCACCCAAATAAACCCCAGAAACAACCCTGCTAATCTCATTTGCACTCTGAAGATGCCAGAAGCTCCGGCCTGTGTGTTCCATCCCCATTCAATCAAGAAACGCCCTCGACAAGAACGGATTTTCTCCTAAGAGAGCAGCTTGGAGAAAAAAGCTCTTATTTGTTACTAAGCAAAACAACTGTGCTTCACTTCGGCTTACAGTCTAGCGTATTTACTAGGGTTTTCTTTAAGCATCTTATCACCCACCCCCAACCCCATCCTCAGGAGCTCAGCTAGCATTTCCAGAGCCTAGGGGCCCACTCCCCGCTAGGGTGAAAGTTGGGGAGGAAATGGGGGAAGTGGGCTCCTGGGCCCGCCCCGCCCCAGCCCCTCCCCAGCAGAGCGCCTAGAAAACAGCGCGGCCCGCAGTCGGCTTCGAGGGCTCCACTTTTTTTTTATTCTCTCCACTCGGTGCTAGCAAACCACCTCCTCTCCCTCCCCACCCATCGGCCGCCAGGACCGAGGGGCGCTGCGGGGAGCAGAGCGCCGGACTTCGCGCGGGCCCCAGCGCTTCGGCCGCCGGGGAGACCCTGCCCCCACCCCCGGGAAGAACTGACCGCCCTCCCTCCGGCCGGGTGGGAGGGCCGCGGCCCTCAAACTCTTGGGGAGAACTTTTATTTCGGCGGGGACGTGTAGAAGTGGGTCGGCAGCCGGGACCCAAGACAGAGTAGAAGGCGGCGGCGCCCTCGGGCCCGGGGCGGGAGACCCGCGCCGCCCCCACCGCGCCCTCCGCCCCGGCCCCGCCGCCTTTAGGAAAAGCAGATGGCGGTGCGGCCCCCTCCCCTCCCTCCCGCGGAAGCCGCCCCCCGCAGCACTCGGCCCCGAAGGGGCGGGGCCCATCCCGCGGGG